AAAAAAAAAAAAAAAAAAGCATAATGGGATAAAATTAATGTAGTGAAATTTTTGCCTGGTTTAATCTGCTTCTTAGGAAACATGATAGACAAATTTTACTTGTAATTCAAACTGATAATATTAAAGCCCCCAATTCCTTTATAATATGCCTCATTGTGTGAATGTGGATATCTTTGGGGTCAAATCATGACCTCTGAAATTAACATGTTTACATTAAAAGACAGAATTTTGTGACTGTTACTCAAACATATAAAGTAGTTATCTTGTTCTTGACATTTGGAACTTGACCAGACTTACGGTTTTTTTTGTTTTTTTTTTGAGTTGGAGTCTCACTCTGTCACCCAGACTGGAGTGCAGTGGCTGCTCCCAGCCACCGCAGCCTCCACCTGCCGGCTCCAATGATCCTTCCGCCTCAGCCTTCCAAGTAGCTGGAAATACAGGCGCGCGCTACCACGCCCGGCTCATTTTGATTTATTATAGAGATGAGGTCTCGCCCAGTTGCCCAGGCAGGTCTTGAACCCGCGGGCTCAGGCAGTCCACTCACCTCAGCCTCTCAAAGGCGCGGGATTACAGGCTGAGTCACCAAGCCTGACTAGACTTATGGTTTTAAGAGTCTTTTTCCCTTCATGAGAGATTTAATAATTTAGGCAAATAGGTATTATATTTATTCTACTCTGGAAGAAAAATATTATAGTATAATTAGAACAAATAATTGTATTTTTTTCCCTATTGTAAATATTTCAGTTCTTCAAAATACATTCTAAACAGCAGTTGCTTTTTTTTCATACAGCAAGGGGAAAGTTGATATCCAAATAGTGTTAATAGTCCAACCATGCCCAACATACCTGGTGTGTTAAATGTTGAAAAGATAACTGTCGTAACTTAAAAAGTAATTTTAAACCCTGTTAGCAAAAATGACATGTACACTCAAGTAGATGGAGGTAAATAAGAATTATTATAATGAAAAATGAATGTTTAGGCTTCAGTTTCACATTGCATATTAGAATTTGTAGGACTGCCTGCATCGATTTTCCATTCTTCCTTTTTGCTTTCAAAAAATTTTGACCAGTGCAGATTCAGGATAGTTAAACAAGAGGTAGTTAAAAATACCATACACCTGAAAGAGTTTTGGTTTATTCTCTATCAGTAGCATTTTCTCCTGCCAATAAAAACGCATGATGGGAAGGTAGCCCAGTTGGGCTTTGCTTCACTGGCAGTGCAGGTCAGCCTGTTGCGATGTTTGCTAGAACTCTTTGGCAGGTGAGGAGCTGTGTTCTCGGGTAACCAAGGCTGGTAGCTTCTGGTCTGCCTTAATAAAAATAAGGGAAGAGGAAGTTGGTGGTATATTTGGTCAACCGTAGTAAAACCCTGGGGAGGGCAGTGAGGTTGGTGGGAACAGTCTATTTCCATGCGGGCGTTCAAAGTGACTGCTGCCACCAGCACGCACCTTGAGTCCATCGGTGACACTGACCCAGCTAATCTCGTGACTTCATGTCCCTTAGCCATCTAGTCTTGGGGAAACTGTGTCTTTTTAAATATACCCAGAGCATTTTAAACAGTATATTGTAATAATTAAACAGGACATTTTTAGATTTAAGAAAGACTTGTGTTTTTAATTTTGAAATATGCATTTATCATTTTGGGGTTTCAGGGAGATGCGTGTACAAAAAATGTCATTAATTTGAATGAAATAAAGGACAGTTACATTTTTAAAAGTAAATATTGTGACTTTATTAAACTGTACTACTTTGAGAATACAGCTAATAAGCTAGGAAGTTAAACTTTTGATAGAGTTCTCTAATTAGAATGTCAGTGGAATAATCAGCTCTTTCATAAATGAGTTGTGTTCCTGAATAGGTTCTTGCAGTCTTTGGCTTATGGATTCCTTTTTCCATCAAGCAGCATCATATTTCAGCCTAATCCCTGAGAGTTTCAAAATAGAGAATTAAATTTTAATGATGTTTTTCTGTACTTTATAAAAGATGTAAATAAAGATATTGACAGAGGTAGAGATGTATGTGACTAATTTCTGTTAAGCTTTTACTATGACCAGTACATTATGTGAATCATCTCATTTAATTTTCACAGCCAGTTCTATGGAGGAAAGGGACTAGCTCTTCTACCAGTTGAAACTGGACTTTAAAATGATGAAATAACTTGCTCAAGGTAACACAGTGAGTAAGTGGTAGACCAAGGATACAAAGTCATAGCCCTAACTGCTGCACCTATAATAAAGATGATCAAGTAAACTAGCTGTTTTTAGGGTTTGAGATTTTTTTTAAAGATGTCATTTCGAAGTTAATGTTAAAATCTTGAGAGATGAGGCAGAAATTAGTGTTTTGACCATATTATTGCTGTTAGTGATATAATTTAATATCATCTGGGGGATATACTCCCTTCAGGCTCAAAATCCAAGCGAAATTTTGCTTCTACTTTAGAAAACTTAGATAAGAGTCGATGCTAGAAAATACTTTGATTTTCTTTAGAAAACTTTCGAAGTTGGGAGGCTAAGGCAAGAGGATCACTTGATCTTAGGAGGTCGAGACTGTGGTGAGCCGTGATCGTGCCACTGCACTCCAGCCTGGGTGACAGTGAAGCCCTGCCTCAAAAAAAAAAAAAAAGGAAAAGAAAAAAATTATGGGAAGAAAAGTGGTGAAAGTAAGATTGGAAAGAGAAGATCCTTCCGCCATGCAGCATTGGAAGCACATTTGCATTAATGAACGTTTGCATTCAATACGGCTGATGCAGTAGGCATCTGGAATAGGAAGTTACAACACTGAACTTTGGGGTGAGCACTGAGGGAAAAAAATTTGCCAGTTACAGCCTTTTTAAAAAAAAAAAAAGCAAAACATTTTTCTTTGTTCAAAAGAGATTTTCTGTTTGGGATCTAGCTTGGCTGCAAACTGTCTGCTGGCTAACTTCCTATTTTGATGCTGTGGCTGAAAGTTGCTGATACTGTTTTGCACGTTAATTTGTCTTTCCTTCTTGTGTTGTGAACATGAGAAAATTCAAGTGTAGGGAAACCTATACCTGAATATTTCTAGCCTCCCTCATGAATATGCATAGTACCTATGTGAAAAAGTTACTTAGTGGCTACTACAGGCTGGCACCCTTTCTTCACTAATGTGTATAACTCTTCCATGTTACAAGTATACATTTAATTAAAATCGATGAATTTCCTAGGTGAGGGGGTTAGCTCTAACAATTCTAAGCTGTTCACTCTTTTTGGGAAGAACTCTTTTATATAGAATATAGTATTCATTATCACTTATTATTTCTAGTTCACATTATGTTTTCAGTAGTTAAGTTATAAACACTTGAATAAATAACTACTAAATCTACTTTTTCTAAGAGACACTTTGGGGGAAAAAAAGCAGAGGAAACAGTATATGAAGGATTTTTTTAAAAAACATCAAATGTATTTACTTGATATGTGCACAAAATTCGCCTAGAAGTATTTTGTTGTTTTAACAGAGGATTTCGCCGGCTCGGTGGCTCAGCCTGTAATCCCGTGCTTCGGGAGGCTGAGGTGAGTGAATTGCCTGAGCCCGCGGGTTTGAGACCCACCGTCTCTACAATAAATCGAAGAATTAGCTGGGCGGGGTAGCGCACGCCTGTAGTTCCAGCTACTTGGAAGGCTGAGGCAGAAGGATCGCTGGAGCCCAGCAGGTGGAGGCTCCAGCCGGAATGGCCACTGCACTCCAGTCTGGGCAAAAGAGTGAGACTCCAACTCAAAAAAAAAAGAAAGAAAAAATAAAAATGATATGGTCAACAATCTACCATCTCAAACTCAAAATAAATAAATAAATAAAAAAGAGATGGGATTTCACTATGTTGCCCAGGCCAGTCCGAACTCCTAGTCTCAAGTGATCCTCCCACTTTAGCCTCCCCAGTAGCAGGGACTATAGGCACGCACCACCGTGCCCAGCCTTAAGAGTTATTTTTTTATCACGTCATTTTT